TCTTCCTATCTAAAAATGTCTGTGATGATGATATTAGACTAATTTGCTCATTGTCATGCTAGTTTCTAAAATGCCTTGGCATTGCTCAATTAGCTGTATTTTTAAACTCTGTGTAATGAAACTACTCCTGATTTTCTTTTTTCCTTTATGTCTGAAAATTTCTCATCTCTTATAATATGATATCAAACACGAATGTTTGAGATTCTTCAAGCACCACTTCCTCAAAAGGGGTCTTACAGAGGCGACCGTAACAAACTTCAAAGTGGTGGTATTGTGAGAAACCTTGGGCAAAGAACTTTACAGATGAAGAAACAATAATCAAAATGTACTTCTGATCATTTCAGTTTATATAGAACTTACTCTAGTATAGTTGAGTAGCACCAGAAAAAAAATCCAAATGAAATTCTAAAGCAAAGTACCGCTGCTCAGGGACCAGAAAGATAGTACAGCAAGAAAGACCTTGCACGTGGCAAACCAGGGTTCAGTCCTCAGCACCCCATGGAGTCCCCTGAACCCTACCAGGAGTGATCTCTGAGAGCAAAATCAGGAGTAATCTCTGAGCATCACCGAGTGTGGACCCCTTCCTTCTTCCCCTACCCCCCACTCGATAAGACAGAAACAAAGAAAATACAAAAATCTTCTGACTGCTTCTTACTTAGAATCCTACTCAGGATTTTCCGAAGGTACTGATTCAAACGTCATTTACAACAAAAAGTTTCTAGAGTGCTTCCACCCTAGGTCTGTGTTGTCCAACCCTACTTCTGTGGGAAAATGGAATACAAAGGACTGCTTCTCAACTGTCTCTTTGGATTTCTCCTCTACTCCCCAAATCCATCAGACTCTTTTTAAGGTTATGAGAAAGGCAAACACAGGAAAGATGAAGGTTAATCCTATTTGGGTTTCCTCTGCCTTTGACCCTCCTAGGTACCAGTGGACATCCAAAGCTGACTTCCTTGGAGTGTCTAGCGGATGTTGAAATCCTTATTGTGTCATTCAGTGGTCTGCTCCACGATGCCACTGAGTGGACATAAATAAACACCCTTGGCTCCCCCACTGGGAATTCAGACCATCCTTCTTCCAGTCTTACATGGGGTCCCCATCCCATTCCCCAAATGCCACACGTGGTCCAGAACACTCACATATTCTTGCTCTACTATTGTTCATGTGGTCAGTTTCCCTTTTCCTGTCCACTGCTTCAGAGAGATCACTAGAATCTTATATCTGTGATTTTCCCAGGCACCCAAGTGGGTTTGCAGATGAGACTAAGAGATTACATTTCTAAACCCCTATCTTTATTTGCAGACTTCTGCCTACTTGGATTTTACTCCTCTTCTATATTTTATGAATATGGTGCTCTAATCTTTAAGGATGTCACCTTTGGCACAAGGGACATGCACATAAGTGTCCTAATGGCACCAAAGTGTTCTAACATTTCTCTCTGGCACATGGAACTGTGGTTTTTGCTCTCAGACTTTTGGGGTGTCAGCCAAAATGTGAACGAAGTAAGTTGCATTTTAAATCCTGTTACAAATAAATGACGCTCACATTAACCCCAGTGGCAGCACTGAAGGGCAAGGAGAGCTTCAATCAGCTAAACAAATTTTGGCGAACAAAAGAAACAACCACTCAGCAGCAATCAGGCTAACATTAAAACAAAAAAAACTCTAAGACAGCATTCAGAAAGGAAAGCAGATGGGAACAGGCCAGCCTGCACATGTGTGAAATACTTTGGGAAGCAGGCCAGAGGTTATTCTAGGGCAGAAGAAAAAACATGGGCCTGACTTACATGTAAACAGTACCCAAAACTATAGGAACGAAACAATCAGACTCATTTTCTGTAAGAAAGATGAATTGGTATTAAAAGGCCATGAATTGGAAGTGGAATAGCTTGTTAAGAGACAAAATTAAAACTTTAGGATTGGGGACCGGAAAAGAAAAATAGACTTTTCTAGTATTACTTTTGTAGTACTTTTCTGTTTGCCTTGGAATAAGTGATTAGCTTTCAGTTCAGTTTCCTCAGCTACCCGATGTGTCATGTGTGGTACCGGATGGAAAATCTATCCTCAGGATGAAATGAGCAGCCACCCATGTATACCACTTACTGAACTGATCTCACTGCATCCGTAGAAAGCAATCATGAAGCAGATTAATTTCAGGGTCCAGCTTCCCCTTCTAGCCACACGGATGCCTAGTTCTTCTGTTTAATGGAAATTTTTGACAAGTAGCTGAGCTTTTCTAGACCTCTCAATTTATGGATCGATCTCATTATAGTTGTAAATTTTTTCAGTCTGATGAGATACTCAAATTTTAGAGCTGTGTTATATTTAAATGTCTCACTTTCCTAGCTCAGGATTGCTTTAGGTGTGGGAACCTGCAGGGTCCCAAAGTCCCCTCTGTTTTTTTTGTTTTGTTTTGTTTTGTTTTTGCTCTTTGAGTCACACCCGGCAATGCTCAGGGGTTACTCCTGGCTTTGCACTCAGGAATCACTCCTGGCGGTGCTCGGGGGACCCTATGGGATGCTGGGAATCGAACCCGGGTCGGCCGCATGCAAGGCAAACGCCCTACCCGCTGTGCTATTGTTCCAGTCCCAAGTCTCCTCTGGTTTACCCCTCTCTCTTTACCCAGGGAAACTTGGTTCTGTAGACCAGCTCTTCAGTTCTGTTACTACTTTCAGCAATCTGTTGCTCCCTTTCTATGTATCTGTATCTCTCACAAGCGAGATCATTCTGTCTGTCCCTTTCCTTCTGCCTGACTTCATCCAGCATAACTTCTAGTTCCATCCATATAACAGCAAACTGCATGACCGCATCTTGTCCTTACCTCTGCACGGTATTCTATTATGTATACATACCAAAACATCTTGACTCATTTACTGATAGCTAGACACTTTTTTAAATTTTCTTTTATTTTATAAAGTAGTTCACAATATTTGATTACATTTAATATTCAAACACCAATCCCACCACCATTACACCTTCCCACCACTATCACGATCACAATCATCCTGTTGTTCATCGATTTCCTTGAGCAGGCACCGGTAACGTCTCCTTCTTCCTAGCCCTGAGATTTTAAAAGAGCCATTTCAATGCTCTTTCAGGATTAGGAGAATGAGACCCATCATTGTTACTGGTATTTGGCATATTGAGTACGACACGGGAAGTTTGCCAGACTCTGCCGTGCGGGCAGGATACCCTTGGTAGCCTGCCAGGTTCTCCAAAGAAAAAATAAGATAATAAGATGTTGCGAGGCTGCGAATGCGGCCACACACTTCCAGAAGCTGGGTTTTATACCCACCACCATATTGTGGATGTTTTCATCCTGAACCCCAACCCCTGCCCCAAAGCAGAACCGAAATAATATATTTTTGTATTGTGTGTTATGAAAAAAATGCTGAAAATGCTACAAAAATTTTCCTTCGAGAAAAGAGTATGAAGATTGTTGTATTTGACCTAGGGGTGATATATATATATACACACACACACACACACACACACACACACACACACACATTGGAGACTTTGTTGTTACTGTGTTTGGCATATCAAATACATCATGGGTAGCTTGCCAGGCTCTGCCGTGCGGGCGAGATACTCTCAATAGCTTGCCGGGCTCTCCGAGAGGGGCGGAGGAATCGAACTCGGGTTGGCCATGTTGGCTGCATGCAAGACAAACGCCCTACTGCTGTGCTATCGCTCCAGCCCATATATATGTATATATGTATATATATTTATAAAAAAAATTTCCCTCTAAGATTGGTTGCCTCCTATTTTAAACCCCATTAAAAGTGATACGGTACTTTTGGGAGTATAGGTGGTGTGTGGTATGAAGTGTCACATGGCTGTATTTGTGGCCGTGTGGTCCAGGAATAGGTTCACTCGTGGGTGAGGCTCAGCCCAAGCCTGTGGAGAGCGGCTGTGAGCATGGTGGCAGTTGAGTTCTGGAGGTTTTCAGCTGCCAGGGCTGGGTCCCTTGGCAGGGGGTCTCACCCACTCCCTCTGGGGCACCCGGAATCAAACAGCCTGGCATGGGGCCCGGCAGCATGGTTATGGCATGTGTCATGTTATGCTTCCTTCCGGCAGAGAAGGGATAGCTAGACATTTTAATTGTTGCCATAGCTTGACTATTGTACTAGATGCTGCGATGAACATAGTTGTACATAAATTCTATTAATTAATGTATTAATGTATTTGTGTTTTAGGGGGAGATGCCAAGAAGTGGTATCTCTGGGTTGAAAGGGAGTTTTATTCATACATTTTTTGAGAAATCTCCATATTGCTTTCCATTGTGGTTGGGTCAGATGACATTCTCGCCATCAGTGAATGAGAACCAAATCAATCTTAAGAAAACAATGATTTCTTGTATATAAATTTCATGACTTCATTTTTCTAACAGCTACATAGTACTCCACAAATAAAGGGTGTTGGGAGGATCCTCCCAGGATGGGAGATGCGTGCTGAGAGTAGACTTTAGACCGAACATGATTACCACTCAGTGCCTCCTTTGAAAACCACAGCACCCAAAAGGAGAGAGAGAACAAAGGGGAATGCCCTGTCACAGAGGCATGGTGGGATGGGGGGGATGGAGGGTGAGAGGGATACTGGTGGATCAGTGGTGGTGGGAAATGGGCACTGGTGGAGGGATGGGTATTCGATCATTGTATAACTGAAACCCAAGCACAAAACTTTGTAAATCTACAACTGTACCTCATGGTGTTTCACTAATAAAACTCTGGGGAAAAAAAAGAAAACAATGATTTCTTGTGTATTTATCAATTGCCAAGCAGAGTTTAGGGCATTTGATTTGCCTTTTTCATTTTATTTTCCCCAATAATTTTGCAAAGTGTGCACATTTAGTAGTAAGGTTGCTGAATTATATAGTAATCAAGTTCAATTGTAAAAGAAGAGCTGAGAAGGTGAAACTGACAGGATGTTATTGTTTTCTATTTTTTATGTTTTAAAGGGTAGATTGAAAATTTAGAAAAATTAGCAGCAACTACTCACCTGGGGTTCATCAGTTCCAAATCTCTGATATGTTGACTTGCTTAGTTTTTTTTGTGCGTCATTCTCTATATCATAATCTTTGGGAAAACCTTCTCTGACTTCATCCCTTATTAAAAAAGATAGAATCTATTAAGGATACAGTTATGAATTATACTTAATTTTTATTGTCCACTTAAAACTGGCTATTATTAACAATAGTTATGATATTTTTAATAATTACTAGATTTGGGACATATAAAGTGTTTTCCACTTCTTTCCAAGTAATGTTGAGACCTCAAGTTAGCACATGTCACAAAACTATATCACAAAACCAATACTTATCCAAACATTGCTATCAATAGTTACAAAGGAGATTATCTTATTTAATGATTCAGATTAGTTACTCAAGGTAAACTCTAATGTCTAACATAGTGATATCTTATAAAAAGGAAATATTTTCTCTACCATGAATTTTAATCATGATTATTTTTCAAAATGAGAGAGAGCAAAGCATTTTTCTGTATAACTTGTAATAAGCTTTGTACTTCTAAAGATAATCTAATCGAAGGTGAAAAACACATACTAGAAAGAAAAATTTTCGGAGAATTCTCCGAGCTCCAAACCGAGCTGATATCACCAGGGTGTCCCAGATGGAGCACGTGCAGTCTCCCCACCTTCTCCAGATGGAATCTTGGAGACCATGAGCTTCCACAAGCATGGCTCCGGCATGTGGGGACCAGGACTATTTCTCCGAACTTTTCCTGATATACATTGTGAGCAATGGAAAATAGATGATCTAGCATCTGCCCCTAGAAGGCAGAATTGAATGGTGGTGGGAATATCCAAGCAAAGTATAATGCCCAAAACTATAGGTAGAGTATCTGAACAATTATCTGATGAAGAGGCAGGGTAAGGACTGAGATGGAAATGGAGGGGATAATGGGGATATTGACGGTGGGAAGCTTGTATCGGTGGAAGGGATGCGTGATTGATCATTGTATAGCTGAATATCACAAACAAAAGCTTTGTAACTGTATTTCACAGTGGTTCATGCTTCTGGACTATGAATTAAGCTATGGCCCCATGCCACCCAGGGGCGGGGGGGAGGACGGGAGGACGTTGTCCCTTCTGCCCACTTCCCCTCGGCAGCATGGTGACCGCCATCTTTCAGAACCTATTGGACTGAGAGATATGCACCTGCAGTGACAAGACACGTGGGGCCTCACAGGATGGGGGCTGGAACCGACCCTTCTCCCTGCCCCAAAGACACCCTGAGTTGCCACCCATGAATGGCTCCTCAGGTTCCTGAATGGCCATGATCCCAGAGGCACACAAACCAATCTCGAAACCCAGCAGCTTCTGGCAGAAATCCCTCTGGATTTAATTACTAAAATATCAGAAATCCAAAATTGCGCGGCTGCTGTTGTGTCCACGTGACATCATATGCTCTTCGTTATCAGCAATAGAAAACAAATTATCTAATGATGCAATCTCGGCAGGTCTGAATGTTGGGAGAAAATTCCAAATAATAATGGTAGGTCTTCTGTCGAAAAATTGAATGTAATCAAAGTAGAGAGAGAGTAAAGTGGAAATCATCTGCCACACTGGCAGGGGGAGGGATGGGATGGGGGGATATACTGGGGTTCTTGGTGGTGGAAAATGTACACTGGTGAAGGGATGGGTGTCTTTCCCACTATACTGTATTTCCAGCCCTGAGAAGAAAGCATTCGAACCATCCTGACTGAGGAAGCAGAGTGATAAGACGGCAGGTTTGCTTTCCATGCAGTCATCCGGGTTTGATCTCTGACACCCCCAAACACTGCCAGGAATGATCCCTGACCACAGAACCAGGAGTAAATCCTGAGGACGACCAGGTGTGGCCCTAAATCGAAATCAAAACAAAATAAAAACCAAAAAAAAGACCATCTTGATTGAGCATTTGTAAATAATAATGGTGGGGTGGGGGATTGGAGTGTTAAAATGGAAAGAGGAGATAAATAATTCTAAGAAAGCTTTCTTGGATGAGAAAAAGGAAGCTGCACCCAAGCACCCCTCAGAAGAAACACTGAATGGCAAGAAACCGGAGAATTAAACTATGATCTATCCATCCATTTGTCTGTTTATCCATGTGTAAATCCTTTCACTCAGAAAATACTTTTAAGCATCTACTGCATATTAGGCATCTTTCTAGATGTAGGTGGCACAATGGTGTAAAAGCCTGATGCAGTCCTGCCTTCTCAAAAAAAAAAAATCCATCAAACAAGATAAATCTAGCACAGAATGAGTGGAGCCTTAGAGCTGTGGAAGCAAACCCACATTTATGAACCTGGATGTGGCCCCCAGCAAGTTCATGGGAACCTGCTCCCTCATCCTTACCTGTCCACACCTGTAAGATAACACTGTCCTGTCCTTCTTGCATAACCTCAGGAATAGTTGATAGTTTATTGGACTGAGGAAAAGAGAAAAACACCTTAAGAGGTATTTTGCCCTTGGGCAGTCAGGAGGGGCTTTCTTACATTGATCTGGCTACCTGACTGGGTGGAGTGTCAGTCAGACTAAAAGGGAGCAGGAGAATGAGAGAAGCAGGGCTGAAAGATGGACCACGGAGAGACTAGCAAGGGGAACGTGTGCTTGATAGAACCTAGGCCCTCCATAACATAAAGTTCTTCTATGGAATAAACTTCCTTGTAATAAACTGCTACTAAGATCAACCGGCCTGGCCCTCATCTCTTCCTTCGTCTGCCCTTGGCCAACAGCAGTCCCGATCCAGGCCACACACAGTGGCTCAAGGGCACCGAAGGTGGGTGGCAAGATAGAGCCTTCCGGAGAGCCCGTGAACACACAACCTCCTGCGTGCATAGTTTTTTACACACACCTCCACGCTATACTAAGGTTCAGCCCTCAGCACTGCTTTCAGATTACATCCTTGCTTCCCACTTATGAAGAGGGAGCAGAACTCTGTACAACATCAGGAAGTTAGTCCAGTGCGGGGCAATAATGCATGAACAATTTGCCCATCGGGGATGAGCCTAAAATTTCAAAACATCAGCACTGCGCTGGTGCATGGTTTGAATGCGAGAGGCCCTGGTTTGATCCTCTTGCAGGATATCCTGAGCACTGCCAGAAGAAACCCCCAAACATCTAAGCGGGAAAGAGTTCCTGATACCAAAGACAGTACCAAATACAGAAACCCACTTTTTTTATGCTAAGTACTCACAATGCCCAATGCTCACCGTATATTTAGGGACTCACCAGAGTGTTTTAATTATTTTTCAACCAGAACTCTTAAATCAAGTTTTGTTTATATCCACTTACATAACAAAGTTCATGCTTCCATCATTTTGAACACTGGAGGAGAAAGGGACCCATGAAATAAGAATAATTAGTATCTGAAGAGTCAGAAAGTCATATTGATGATCTCACCATAAATTTTTTTCTTTCTTTTAAATGTAGGAATACTGCTATTTATTCAGTCATTGATTAAGCTGATGCAGTCTTGCCTTATCAAAGAAAAATCAATCAAACAAGACAGGCAACATCAGGCTGCTGACGCACTAGCCCCACAGTGTTGGGTAACATTGGGTTGTCCTTGCTCCTCCGGCAGGGAGCTTAAGGTTTATTGAACTATTCCCAAATCTAGCATGGAATGAGTAGAGCCATAGAGCTGCCATTGAAGCAGGGATGAACTCCACATTACTCTTTTTAATTTTTTAATTTTTCCCTCACTGCCCCGACCAGGGCTCCAGCAGCTGAAGACCTCCAGAACCAGCCATAACCATACTGAGACCACTCTCCACACGCATGAAGGTACCAGAAGAGGAACAAAGGCATGCAGGTCCTGGGGCTGAGATCTCCAAGCCTGCTCGGATCGGGGCTGAGCATCCTCCACCCAGATCCTCCATCTTCCAGTAGGCGGGGGTCACACCCACCAACTGGCCCCCTGGCGCCATGTAATCCCATTAACGGCCAACACCCAGAGACTATAAAACTCAGCTCTGGAAAGACATCTTATTATCTGGTTCCTACTTTGGACAAACTGGCAGGCTACCGAATGTAACCTGCCCACACGGCAGAGTCTGGCAAAATCCCCGTGGCGTACCCAATATGCCAAATACCAGTAACAATTATGGGTCTCATTCTCCTAACCCTGAAAGAGCCTTGAATATGGCACTTTTTAAAAAACCTCAGGGCTAGGACAAAGGAGACTGGGGCCTGCTTGAGGCAATCGACGAACAACAGGATGGTCATGATTATGAAAAATTCACGATCATGACCATCCTGTTGTTCGTCGATTTGGGACTTGGAGGTCTTGGAGGTGTGGGAGGACTAGAGGGTCTGCAAGGACTTAGGAGGACTAGATGATGACAATGACTTGAAGTAGAAGACTTTGAGGTCTATGAGAAGACTAGTCTTCTGCCCCCGCGACTGGGTGTTCCTTCCCGGAGCCTCTTGGAGGGGAGCGGGTTGAGCTTTCCTCCCCGCCCCGACCAAGGCTCCGGCAGCCGAAGACCTCCAGGACCAGCCACCACCATGCTGAGACCACTCTCCGCACACATGAAGGTACTGGCAGAGGGACAAAGCCACGCGGGTTCCGGGGCCGAGACCTCCAAGCCTACTCGAATTGGAGTCGAGCATCTTCCACCCAGATCCTCCAAACTCCAGTAGGACATCTTATTAGAACTTTTTAATGACATCTTATTGTCTCATTACTACTTTGGACAAACTTGCAGGCTATCGAATGTAGCCTGCCCACAGGGCAGAGTCTGGCAAACTCCCCGTGGCGTACCAAATATGCCAGATACCAGTAACAATGATGGGTCTCATTCTCCTAAATAGCCTTGAATATAATCTCAGGGCTAGGATGAAAGAGACGTTACTGGGGCCTGCTCGAGGCAATCGACGAATAACAGGATGATGAAATGAAAAAATGAAATGAGGAGACTAGGATGCTGGAACTATGATGACTGAGACTACAACCAAAACTATGAGTACAATTGCGCAGCAAGGGGAGAGATGGGACTATGTTGGGGAGGAGAGAGAAACAAACACTCTACTGACCAGCCCGGGTCCCTGTTTCTCCATTCTTCGCTCCTTCTTCTGTTCGTTGCTGCCGTGAACTGGCCCAGG